CCGCGGTGGCGGGGGTGGCGGCGGCGGCGGCGGCGGCGGCAGCGGCGGAGGCCGAAGCCGGAACTCTCTTTACGTCACGTCCGACCCGTGAGTGGCGTCTGCGCAGCGACGTCAAAACCTGAGTTGCTTCTCTTCCGCGCCTCGACACGCCCCTCGCCCTCTCAGACCGAACTCCGGGGGTCCTGCTGACGAAACCTGTTGGGACCCGTAGCTGTCTACCGCGGAGAGTGCTGGGATTTGTAGTTTTCGTGAATCCGAATGCTCTTCCTTTCCTACCCTTCATGTCAGGGAAATCAGATGAGGCTTTTCTGCGGGAAGACTACCAAGTGATTAAGTAGGTTTTCCCTAGCACTCAGCATCTTCAGTTAAAGTTAGGATAACTTGCCGACTTTCCAGGGCTAGTAAAGACCTCGGCCCAGATGTGTGGAACAGATTTAACACCCCCAATTCTCTGACTTGGAAGAAAACAAACAAATATTAAAGCATTTCTTACACTAAATTCTGTACAAATACTGGCACGCTGTTTTTCCTCTTCTTATAAGACCGAAAGGCTTGCGAAACTTGCACGTGTTACTTGCCCCAAATATCAAAGGAAACAAAAAAGGTGGAAACGAGACTAAAAAAACAGACTACTGACTTGATTAAATGTGTGAGTCCCAGGGGGCGGCAAGAAGGGTTTTAGTTTTTGTTGCTTTTACTTTGTTTGATTTTTGTCGTATCCCAGTGTTAAGAACAGTTCTTGACATCTAGTATAGCTTTAGATTGGTTCATTTGGCGTACAGACACGCGTGTAGGTGCTTAGTGACCACAGTAGACGAAAATCTCTATCCTTGAGGCTGGAAAGATTGCTCAGTGACTAAGAGCACTAGCTGCTCTTCCGGACCAGGATCCAAGTTTTATTACCAGCACCCACAAGGCTGCTCACAAATCCTGTAAGCCCAGTTCCAGGGGATCAGACACCCTTTTCTGGTCTCTAGGGCACTGTATGGATGTAATTCACAAACCCACTTGAAGACAAAATAAAATAATAAAAAATTAAGAATGTATATATAAAAAAACACTGTTTCCAACCTGTAATTTTCTACCAATCAGGGCCTGGAGAAATGGCTCAGAGGTTAAGAGCACTGGAGGTCCTGAGTTCAATTCCCAGCAACCACGTGGTGACTCACAAATATCTATAATGAGATCTGGTGCCCTCTTCTGGCCTGCAGGCATACATGCAGACAGAACACTATATACATAATAAATAAATCTTAAATAAATAAATAAATAAATAAATAAGAAAAAGAATTAACCAGTCAGCCACGGATAGTGGAGCACACATTTGACCCCAGCCCTGGAGAGGCAAATGGATAACTGTGAGCTCTAGGATAGCTCGGTCTAAGTTAGCAAGTTGCCAACCAGGAGACCCTGTTCAAAACAAAACAAAACAAAACAAAACAAAAAACCCCCACAAAACCCACCAAGGTGGAAGTTTCCGGAAGATCGCTGATGAAGCAATCATAAGCATATCACGAGCCTTTGGGGAGAGACCCTACCATGTGGAGATCAGAGGAAAAAAGAAAACATCCATTTATTTTTCATTTGATGCAATGGGCAACTATTGTAGGATTTTAAGTAGAGATGCAAAATGGTCACACTTACTTGGATTTTCTTTTGTTTTGGTTGGTTGGTTTTGTTTGAGCCATTTCTTTAGCCCCTTGACTCCCATTTTAAAAACAGAACTCAAACATTTCCTAGGAGAATTCAGGAATGTGATTTCTATTCTAAAGGATTAGTTCCTACAGTGTAAACTATCTGATATTCCAGTTTTTCTTGTTAATATACCCCTCTAGCATGGCATCTTGAGGTAATCCTAGTCAAAAGACACAAGCCCCATCAAAGCATTCTGGACCTCTGACAGTATTTCTGTCTAAATACATGTTGGGCAAATGGCCAGAGCCAACCTGGCCTTGGTCCTCTTGCCAGAAGGAAAGCAAAGTGAATGTATACCTCTAAACTCTTCTTCGGCAGTCTCTGGGAAACTTTCTACTAACTATAGGAAGTTATGAAGAGCCCAGGTGTTAGAAACACATGGCAAGGTAGTGAAGAGAGCTGCAGCCCCCAAATTCTATTTTGTCCATTAGGCGCGGCGGGCGGCGGCGGCAGCGGCGGAGGCCGAAGCCGGAACTCTCTTTACGTCACGTCCGACCCGTGAGTGGCGTCTGCGCAGCGACGTCAAAACCTGAGTTGCTTCTCTTCCGCGCCTCGACACGCCCTGCGCCCTCTCAGGCCGAACTCCGGGGGTCCTGCTGACAAAGCCTGTTGGGACCCGTAGCTGTCTGCCGCGGAGAGTGCTGGGATTTGTAGTTTTCGTGAATCCGAATGCTCTTCCTTTCCTACCCTTCATGTCAGGGAAATCAGATGAGGCTTTTCTGCGGGAAGACTACCAAGTGATTAAGTAGGTTTTCCCTAGCACTCAGCATCTTCAGTTAAAGTTAGGATAACTTGCCGACTTTCCAGGGCTAGTAAAGACCTCGGCCCAGATGTGTGGAACAGATTTAACACCCCCAATTCTCTGACTTGGAAGAAAACAAACAAATATTAAAGCATTTCTTACACTAAATTCTGTACAAATACTGGCACGCTGTTTTTCCTCTTCTTATAAGACCGAAAGGCGTGCGAAACTTGCACGTGTTACTTGCCCCAAATATCAAAGGAAACAAAAAAGGTGGAGACGAGACTAAAAAAACAGACTACTGACTTGATTAAATGTGTGAGTCCCAGGGGGCGGCAAGAAGGGTTTTAGTTTTTGTTGCTTTTACTTTGTTTGATTTTTGTCGTATCCTAGTGTTAAGAACAGTTCTTGACATCTAATATAGCTTTAACATTGGTTCATTTGACGACTGTATATTGAGCAGTAATTAAGTACAGATAGCTTGTAGGAGCTTAGTGACCACAGTAGACGAAAATCTCTATCCTTGAGGCTGGAAAGATTGCTCAGTGACTAAGAGCACTAGCTGCTCTTCCGGACCAGGATCCAAGTTTTATTACCAGCACCCACAAGGCTGCTCACAAATCCTGTAAGCCCAGTTCCAGGGGATCAGACACCCTTTTCTGGTCTCTAGGGCACTGTATGGATGTAATTCACAAACCCACTTGAAGACAAAATAAAATAATAAAAAATTAAGAATGTATATATAAAAAAACACTGTTTCCAACCTGTAATTTTCTACCAATCAGGGCCTGGAGAAATGGCTCAGAGGTTAAGAGCACTGGAGGTCCTGAGTTCAATTCCCAGCAACCACGTGGTGACTCACAAATATCTATAATGAGATCTGGTGCCCTCTTCTGGCCTGCAGGCATACATGCAGACAGAACACTATATACATAATAAATAAATCTTAAATAAATAAATAAATAAATAAATAAGAAAAAGAATTAACCAGTCAGCCACGGATAGTGGAGCACACATTTGACCCCAGCCCTGGAGAGGCAAATGGATAACTGTGAGCTCTAGGATAGCTCGGTCTAAGTTAGCAAGTTGCCAACCAGGAGACCCTGTTCAAAACAAAACAAAACAAAACAAAAAACCCCCACAAAACCCACCAAGGTGGAAGTTTCCGGAAGATCGCTGATGAAGCAATCATAAGCATATCACGAGCCTTTGGGGAGAGACCCTACCATGTGGAGATCAGAGGAAAAAAGAAAACATCCATTTATTTTTCATTTGATGCAATGGGCAACTATTGTAGGATTTTAAGTAGAGATGCAAAATGGTCACACTTACTTGGATTTTCTTTTGTTTTGGTTGGTTGGTTTTGTTTGAGCCATTTCTTTAGCCCCTTGACTCCCATTTTAAAAACAGAACTCAAACATTTCCTAGGAGAATTCAGGAATGTGATTTCTATTCTAAAGGATTAGTTCCTACAGTGTAAACTATCTGATATTCCAGTTTTTCTTGTTAATATACCCCTCTAGCATGGCATCTTGAGGTAATCCTAGTCAAAAGACACAAGCCCCATCAAAGCATTCTGGACCTCTGACAGTATTTCTGTCTAAATACATGTTGGGCAAATGGCCAGAGCCAACCTGGCCTTGGTCCTCTTGCCAGAAGGAAAGCAAAGTGAATGTATACCTCTAAACTCTTCTTCGGCAGTCTCTGGGAAACTTTCTACTAACTATAGGAAGTTATGAAGAGCCCAGGTGTTAGAAACACATGGCAAGGTAGTGAAGAGAGCTGCAGCCCCCAAATTCTATTTTGTCCATTAATTTTGGTTAGCTCTCAAGTAGCTAAATGAGTTATTAAGTTGGATCTCTGGCATTGTGGCCCTTATCTGTAAATTCTAGCACTTGTGAGGTGAAGGCAGGAGCATCAGGAATTTAAGGTCATCCTTAGCTACATAGTGAGTTGGAGACCAGCCTGGGCTACATGAGGCCTTGTCTCAAAATTAAAGCCCTTTCACTAGCATTAGTAGATTCTCTCAACAGCTGTCTGCTGTTGGTGCTATCCTCATTCTGCCTATGAGTAAACTGGGTTCAGAGAGGATAATGGACTTGGCAAATGTCAGAGTTCCCTGGTAGGTGCTTGAGCTTTCGTCTGAAGCCAAGTTTGCCTGCACTCTCCCAGTAAGTACAGTCGTGATGGCGGACGTCCTTCTGAATGCTGTGAATATATAGTTCTCTTATTGGTTGGTGAATAAATGCTGATTGTCCATTAGCCAGGCAGGAAGTATAGGTGGGGCTAC